CCGACGAACAAAACATCGTCTATGGACAATGTTGTACATTACAATATAATGTACAATATTTTTCGTTGTTTGTGTATAACTTTTATACAATATACTCTGTATACAGTAGATTTAAAATGAATATATAGGTCACATTAATATGTATCAGCAAAAATATTATAAGATCACACTCACACCGTCGTCGAGAGATTGTGTGAAGGTAGACGAAAACATAAAAAAATCACTGTAAAACTCATAGATCACTGATCGACTCCTATTTTTCTGGATTTATATGAATGCAAAAAAACACAAGACAAGACAATATACTGTGTGTTTGATAAAAATATTGAAAGAAATCGCAAATTTTATTCCACTATAATAGATACATAACACATCWYATACCACTATACCACTGAAGAGCAGTGGCGGTCAAATGATTTTGTCAARGTGGGGGGATATGGCTGATTTTTTAACATGCATTATTTAATTATTGAAAATACCATTTATATGGTTATCAGGTGTTAAACATAGAAATAAAAGGTCATGGGAGGAGATTTATATCCACTTCCCTCCGTTTGACAACCACTGCTGAAGAGTAATATGTGTGTGTATATTTTTACGACCTTTCTTTATTTTAATCAATGAAGCATTGAGGTATGTTATTCAAATTTTGGGTCTTTTTTTGGGTGGAATACACAAATATCGTTACTATATTATGACGGGTGCATGAGCTAGTAGTGACCCTAGCAATAATTTAACGATCTCCATCATGTTGCTTTTAGTATTTGGGCACAGTTTGATGTTATATGCAACAGTACCACTTACAGCTGTGAAAATGTTTACAAAAATCTAAACATGTCATTCTACACTAGCTAGRTCACTATAGCCATCCCGACATCAACGACTTCATTGATGTGTTGCTTATTGATGGAGTTTAATCTGATATTTTCGTATAATGCAGAAGTATAATAATATAGGATTCAAAACGAAGAAAATGTATGAAAAAGAAGCATTTATTAGACAACAGCTGATGATAAAGCTTATGCAAAAAATAGGGCTGCTGTATGATTTCGTTAAATCATTGAGTTTAAGTTTTTTCCAAAGCAATAATCTCAAAATTAAAAAAAAAACATCGTCAAACCCACTCATTGGAAAAAAACGTGCATGTTAAAAAAAAAAACAAATAAAAATATTTATTTTTAAGAGACGGATTAGTCAACCTCCCCGTGGTGCCACCTGAGTGACATTAATAAGCTTTTCTTTTGCTGACTCCGAAACTTTCGATAAGGAGCAATCCCGTTTGCGATGTGGTCATAGATATTTGTGTAGATCTCGTCACATCTAAATTGTATTATGTCTAGCGTAGCGTAGTGTATTATACGCGAATAATAAATTAAAATATAATAATTAGGACCCTATGATCAGCGTGAGATATAGCTATAAGCATGTCCTTCATCGTAACATTAACCACGATTTCCTCAAAATCTGGACAAGTTGAAGCAAATTAGTGATTCATATAAATATAGCAGTTGTTGAAAGTGGAATAATTGTGATTATAAATATTTATGCGTTGATATGTTATGTTGATTTATTAATTTTAACATATTTATGCATACATCTAGCTCAAGGTGATTGGAAAGTTATTGGAACAGAAGTCACTGCAGGTACGAATATCCGTGTATATATAATTTATATTTATTCCAAATTTCTTGAACACCCTGTATATATATAATACTATGAACACCTGTGGTACTTTGAGTACCAACCCGGTCGAAACGCCATATACGCGAAGTTGACGTCTTTTTAAATCTTAGAAAAAAATGTCAACTAGATATTATAATTTTTATATTATTACAATACTATAAAAAAGGGCGTTTTCAAATTTTAAATTATTATCGTCTGAAACTAATGGCAACCCTGTAGCTATATTAATGAACAAAAATGTGTGAACCACCTTACGGTAACATACAGGGGTCAGAAAAATAATAAGCACCCTCCAAGTGTCAAGGAATCATGGTTCAGTGGCGTGTGCAAGGAGGGGGACGTGGGGGGTCAGATCTCCTCACATTGGCTATTTTTGTTTTTTCTTACATTAAGTAGGATGCACTATTTAATGTAATAATTTTTCATACATTATTATGATCTATCGAGTTATTGAATTTTGACAATTTTTTTATACTGAATACCATTTTTATTTTATTTTCGTTTATTCGGTCGAAATTAATACGATGACGACTGTGATGGTTATAATACTTTATTATAGCGTATCATATATTATTTATATACAGATACAATACTGCATGAGTGGGGAATTTAAAAATCTTCCACTCTCATTTAGACATGCCGTTATTTTGTTTTTTTTTGAAAAAATGACGCTCTCATAATTTTGTTTTGATTCCGTTTTTTTTTTTTCTGAAGGGGGACACAGTCACCTCGGCAATTTGGTCCATATGAGAATAATATATATTCTGTACTTTAATCATTATTGCAATATTTTTTACATAACTCACTCTAGAAACAGAACTTAAAAATTGGCAATGTAATACGTGTAGTTGTATACGTTATTTGAAAACATTGTAATGATATGCTCACACATCATCATGATTGTATGTTGTTTAAATATTCAATAAAATAAATAACAGTCAAGTTGTCGCACGCAGATAACAGTTAAAATCCAACAAAAAAAACACCATTGTCCACTGATGAAAGGAACGATTTGTATTATTTAATTACATGGGAACTTATACGTAGTTGTGACTATCTGGCACAACACATGTGAGCTATTTCGTGTACCACCAGAGCAGGGGATGGTCCAATGAGGATCTCAGTTGCCAAAGACAATGCTAAGTCTTTGGAAACGCAGAGGCCTTTGGTGGAGCCACCTACAACCCTGGCTGGCTGGACCACGTCGTCTCCTTCCATCAGTGCATGAGCACCATCCAAAACTAAAACACTTCAAGAGTGCAGGAGCACCTAAACACTTTTCAACACCAGACATTGCGAGCGACAGCTAGACCGTTTCTTTTTTTACAATCGAAATTTAAATTTGTTTTTCTTTAATCTGAGTGTTTAATAAAAAACCTTTATTTATTTTATTACGTCAACTGCATATCAAAGACAGCTGCGAATAAGGTAAGGTGCATGCGCATC